AGGCTAATCCTTACATTAATACTGGACAGTAATTAAAGGTAGTTCAGAAAAGCAAAGCATAATGAAACTACACAACAGCCTGTAAATCTTATACCAACATATGGCTGTCTGAGTGTCAGTGGAAGAGGAAGAAATGAAAACAATGAAAAATGATAACTTTTTTTATTTTAAGATTTCAAAACATGAACTACAGAGTTTAACTCCTCCGAAATTACTATACCAAATTGTCTGTACTAGGGTGTAGAGAATCACTCTGCAGTTCAATGCCACCCTTTGTCCTTGAGCAAAAAAAACCTTCTAATCCAGTGGCCACGATGAAGACATCAATTCCATGCACACACACTGTAACAAGGTAAAAAAGACAAAAACACCCACAAAAGAAGAGCAATTCTTGACTTGAAATGAAACCAAATTGAAATAAGGAAGGTGTGCCTAAAGAGCAACATAAATCTGTAAGGAAGGGTGGGGGAAACGATGCAAAAGTCTAGTACAGAGATATGAGGAATCTAGGGGTAGCGAAGTAAAATTTAAATGTGATTAAGAGGAAAAAACAAAACTGCTGAAATAAAATTAACTATGCCCAACTTTATATATGCCATCTACCAAACAACAACATATTAAGAATGTAGAACCAATAGAGATGAACAAGGAAGTGCAAGAAGTTAACAGTAATAAGTAAAAGAAACTACATTCAAGAGGTTGAAAAAGTCACAAGAGATAGGGATCAGAAATGCCATTCACCTGCATCAACAGGTGGTGGAAATTGATGGATCCTGTGGTGAAAGGGGGCCTATCCCAGCAGCAAGGGAGGGAGACACTCACTAAGGGACAATAGGTAGCTCCTCCCCTGAAGGCACCCCTTGGCCTTCTGTGGGAGAGGGGTGCAGTTTGGCCAGCATTCCCCAGCTCCCAGGATTTAGCCCAGCACAGGGGCCATATGAAACCTCTTTCGGCTCCATTCCAGCAGTCCACCCTGCCCATCTAAACTAGGAATGGAAACCCAGACAGATGCTGCGAGTGGAATTCAAATCTAGGAACTGTTCACAAGATCATGAAGAGAGGGGCTATCCCACAGTGCCAGGCACCTACCACACAAGGCTTTACCGATCAAACACAACACCTTTTAATACACCTGGAAATAAACTGGTTGCCTGTGCATTCATTGCTCTAATCCAACGGCTCTCAATCTTTAGCAACCCAAGGACCCCCATTTTTATTGAAAAATGTTTAACGGACTCCCAAGCCAGCTTCTAATTTTCCTCAGGGGTGCTAAACCCCCACTCAACCCCAGGCCCTGCCCCCACTCCAACCCTCCCCCAACGTCCCACCCCCACCTCTTCCCACCCCACCCCTGCCCCTCCTCTTCCCTGCCACTTTCCACACCACTCCCCACTCCTCCCTCTCCCCACCAGTGCCTCCTGAACAGCTGTTCCATGGTGTGCAGGAGGCACTGGGAGGGAGGAGCAGGAGCTGATCAGAGGGCCAGCGGCCGCGGACGTGACTCACAGACCCTATGGAAAACCGCAGCTCTAATCAAATAGGCTACTGCATTTATCACGCCTGTAGCTGGAGTTTCTTTAAGAGTGATCTTTAAGAGTAACCACATGGAGATCATAGGTTCACCTCCACAATGGATTAATCCAAAAGCAGAGAAAACATGTTTTTCCTAACAAGGTTTACGTCTACTATAGACAAGGCACGTTGCCTTTAACATGTACTGAACTGGTGGAATTAAAGCCTACGGGGAAGCCTAGATTTAATTCCCCCAGCATAGCATGTTAAAGTATGCAATACATGTCTACTTTAGAGTTTTAAAACATGTTAGTTAGAACATGTTAGCTAACATAACATCTTTAAATCCTAGTCTAATAAAGGCCACAACGTGTGAGATTGTTTCTTCACAGCAGGGACTATCTAAATAGGCAAGACAAAGATAACTGGACTAGATGACCTCTCGAGGTCCCTTACAGTCCTATGATTCTATTAAAAGAAATATTACTCACTTTTAACAATGGGAAATTGAGGTACAGAAAGATTGCAAAGTCAAGATTTTCTAAAGTGACTGGTTATCCTGGGTACTTTCATTTTAAGCCAGGCAATCTGTGTACCATGGGTACCTTTATTTTTGGGTGCTCTGCAGAAGAGTCTGAAAAGCAGGCTCCCTTAAAGTAAGTGCTGAACACTCACCCCTCTGAAAAATCAGGCCTTCATTACAGTATCACAAGTTGGTAAACAAAAAATTGAAACACCTTAAAATCACTTTGGAAACTCTTGCCCTAAGTGACTTGCCCAGGATTACACAGGAAGCCTGTGGCAGAGCAAGGAACAGAACTCAGGTCGCTCGCGCCTCTGTCCAGTACCTTAACCATAAGACCAATCCTCCTCAGAACTTCAACAGAGTGGGTAGGACTAATCATGAAACACTACAGTGTTAAACAACTGTCGTGCCCTAATCATTATACACAATCTTATAAATGGAGTAGGAAAAATGATACTAGTTAATTTCAAGGAGGCATTAAAATATTGTATGAAAGAAGAATTTAGAAACTAGGAGAGATGCAATATCTTTATACAGAAGTGAGACTAACTGCTAATAACAAAGGTTGAGATTATACACTGTTTATTAGCCTTAAATATTTGGAAGAAACTATATGATGTGGAAACGTATACCTAATTCCAAAGAGGGGCTGGATCTATGTAGCCTCAAAGCCTTTGATTAACCGAACTTTTTTGTATGTTTCTTGATTATATCGTGTCCAGCAGGAATTTAACCATGTAAAAGCTAAACCTGCAAGTACATTTTAAAAAACTACATATTTATTTTAAGGGAACAATTTAGATATGTTTCTGAAACATCTGCGAGTAGTTGTGAAGCATAGCTGAATTTAGACCCTCATCTTAACACCCAGCATAGTATTAGTGCAATGCCATTTTATATCCTGCTTGCGTCTAAACACAAACTCTACACAGCAAGCTAATCAAGGACATAAAAAAAAATCTAACTTTAGCCAAGCTACAGATAAAGCCAAGGTTAATAAATTCTATCCAGTGCCAACCATGCCCTTAATTATTAGACAGCACGGCTTAAGGAAAGCTGGCAGATGGTGAATGGAAGAAAACTAGGACAAGTTCAACTTTTAGAATGCTTAGAAAAGACTGAGTGTCTTGCCATTCAACAGGTATTACAATAATAGCACCTTTACACACAATTTTGATAATTGAAAACATTTATATGTGAAATGGAATCAGATGCCTGTTCCCTTGAAAGAAAGAGCCATACTGATAGATTTTAATCCCTTTACTTAACCTTTAAGGAATTGAGAACTGCTACATAATTTTGCATTACATAGTTTGTATGTCCTAATGAGTGCTCTAGGAATAATTTTACTGTAATCTCCCAAGGACTGTCACAAAAATGTGATGTATTTCTAATGAAAGTATCCCAACAAGCAAAAATTTTGTTGTACACATAGTAAATAGGGTTTCCACAATTCTAGGTCATCGTGTTCCATAAATTTAAAACCTAACTTTTTTTAAAATTAGTAAATAATTTCTTTTGAATCAGTTAATTTAAGACTTTGGATTAATCTAGTGCTTGATTGACTTTGTGGTCTGGTTGCTCTGAATGGAGCTAGGCACTGAGCAAGCTTCTCCACACAAGCTTTGCCATGCATTATGAATAATTACCTCACTATACAACATCTCTGCTATTCTAGTCTTGAGCTGAGGCTTTCAGTCATGACAAACTGTGTGTTGATTTTTAGATGTGGACAAATATCCACTAGGAACTAGGATGACACCACTATTACCAAAGGTGAAACAGGGAGGAATTTCAAATCTTTGATGCTTGTGGTCTTCATGCATTCTCTGCTAGAAACTGACACAATATCAGGGAAATCTGACACCTGACGTAACAGAACTAAGGGTATGTCTTCACTACCCGCCGGATCGGTGGGCAGCGATCAATCCAGCGGGGATCACATCGCGTCAAGTCTAGACACGATAAATTGACCCCCAAGCGCTCTCCTGTCATCTCCTGTACTCCAGCACCATGAGAGGTGCAGGTAGTTGACGGGGGAGTGGCAGCAGGCAACTCACCACGGTGAAGACACCACAGTACGTCGACTTCAGCTACTTTATTCACGTAGCTGAAGTTGCATAACTTAGATCGATTCCCGCCCCCCCCCCCAGTGTAGACCAGGGCTAAGCTGAACCCTTTAAAAAGTATTAGAAGAGACTCTGTTTAACCAAAGAAAGCATTATATCTGTAAAACTACCCCAGTCCAAACCCTAATGAAGTTAAAGGGAGTCTTTGAATTGACATCAATGGGCTTGCAGTCAGGTCGCAGGATTCACCTGCTGTCTGCAGCCACATGTTTTACTTTTTCAGCTAGTTAGGTAGAAGAAGATTCCCCACAACCTCATGCCAAACTGTAACCTTCTAAAAACAAAGACATTAACAAGAGTGCACTAAATTTATCTGACTAATGTGTATAATCATAACCTACAATGCCCAATTACAGGTGTCAATAAAGGAGGTTTAGGAACAAATTGATAAGTTAAACAGTAATAAGTCACCAGGACCAGATGGTATTCAACCAAGAATTCTGAAGGAACTCAAATATAAAATTGCAGAATTACTAACTGTGGTATGATACATATCTTATCACTTAAATCCAGCCTCTATTCCAGATGACTGGTGGATAGCTAATGTAATGCCAATTTTTAAAAAAGGCACCAGAGGCGATCCCAGCAATTACAGGCTGCTAAGCTTAACTTCAGTACCAGGCATACTAATTGAAACTACAGAATAGAACAGAATTATCAGACATATGGATGAACATGATATGTTGGGATCAAGTCAATTCAGCTTTTGTAAAAGGAAATCGTGCCTCAACAATCTATAAGAATTCTTTGAGGGGGTCAAAAACATATAGACTAGAGATCCAGTGGCTATAGTGTACTTGGACTTTCAGTAAGCCTGTGTCAAGATCCCTCACCAAAGGCTCTTCAACAAAGTAGGCAGTCATGGGATAAGAGGGAAGGTCCTCTCATGGATCAGTAACTGTTAAAAGACAGGAAACAAAGGGTAGGAATAAATGGTCAGTTTTCAGAATGGAGAGAGGTAAATAGCGGGGGTCCCTCAAGGATCTGTACGGGGACCTGTGCTGGTCAACATATTCATAAATTATCTGGAAAAAGGGGTAAACAGTGAGGTGACAAATTTGCAGACACTATAAAATTACTCAAGATTGTTAAATCCAAAGCTGACAGTCAAGAATTACAAAGGCATCTCACAAAACTAGGTGACTGGACAACAAAATGACAGGTGAAATTCAATGTTGATAAGTGAAAGTAATGTACATTGGAAAACAAACCCAACTATATATACAAAATGATGGGGGTCTAAATTAGATGTTACTACTCAAGAAAGATCTTGAAGTCATTGTGAGTAGTTCTCTGAAAACATCTGCTCAATATACAGTGGCAGACAAAAAGCCAACAGAATGTCAGAATCCTTAAGGAAAGGGATTGATAATAAAACATAATGCCACTATATAAATCCATGATACACCCACATCTTGAATACTGCATGCAGTTCTAGTTGCCCCATCTCAGAAAAGACGTATTAGAATTGGAAAAGATGCAGAGAAGGTGATGAAAATCGATTAGGGGCATGAAACAGCTTCCAAATTAGGAGAGATTAAAAAGACTGGGACTGTTCAATTTAGAAAAAAGTTAATGAAGGAGAAGATATGATAGAGATCTATAAAATCATGGATGGTATGGAGAAAGTGATTAAGAAAGCGTTATTTACCCCTTCACAAAACACATGACCCAAGGGTCACCCAATGAAATTAATTAGCAGCTGGTTTAAAACAAACATAAGGAATTACTTCTTCACACAATGTATAGTCAACCTGCGGAACTTGTTGCCAGGGGATGTTGCAAAAGCCAAAAGTATAACCAGGTTCAAAAAAAGAATTAGAGAAGTTTGTGGGGATAAATCCATTAATGGCTATTAGCCGAGATGGCCAGGGATGCAACCCTATGCTCTGGGTGTCCCTAAGCCTCTCACTGCCAGAAGCTGGGACTGGACCACAGGAGTTGTATCACTCGACAAACTGCCCTGTTCTGTTCATTCCCTCTGAAATATCTGGCACTGGCCACCATAGGAAGACGGGTTAACTGGGCTGGATGGATCACTGTTCTGACCCATCAGGGCTGTTCTTATGTACACCAAATGTATTAACTTCTTATTTGACAACAATGCATACTGCAGTTAAATGAATATCCATTAACTTTTTTTTGGCTATAGGTCAAGACTGAACAGCTTTGGGAGATGAAGAACTTGTTTAATACCTGCCTGGATTGTGCTCAGTGACTGTAATTAGTATCATCAGTCTCCTACACTGTAAAAAGATATTCTAACTTGAAACATAAAACTGATGAGTGCATAGATAACATTGCTTATAATTATTTATATTGCCAGATATTTAATGAGCTATTTTGTTCCACATTATTTATATAGCATTTAGGTGTGGGAGATACTGTATGAAATATGCAGGTCAGATACCTGTCAACTTACCATCTATGGGTCCAATCCTGCTTTCATCAACTTCAAAGAGTGAAGGATCGGACACATGATTTCAGTCGGAGCTCAACAACTCTCAGTATCATGCCCATATAAATTCCATGAGTCAGGAACTTCTTTTCTTTTGTCTCATGGGGTGCTACATAATGGAAATAAAATGGAACAAAATAATGTATTTGTACTGATGAATTTTCATAATTAGTCTTATCTATGCACCTGTTAGCAGCAACTCTCAGGATGAGACCCTAAGACATAGCAAGGGATGCTGACTATATCAATGAAAGATCATGAGAAATGAATTGTCAGATCCACTTCTTGATCGTGCCGATTGTATTTTTATTAGCAGGTATACTGAAATGAAGAGCAGTGTCCAGAGTGGCAAGTCTGGAGTGACCATACATCTGTAGTCAAACAGTTGCACTGTATCTGAATAACTAATTAATATTTAAATTACAAAATAAAATAAATAAATACAAATAAAGTTTAATTTTGAATCCACACAAATTGGAAAAAAATATATAATGAATAAAGAAGCCAGGAGCAATTTTCTCTGTGCTTCACTTTTTTAAAAATTGCTGTGTTTCTAACTTGCCAAGAAGGTGAACAAGCCAGATAATTTGTTTGTCCAGCTAGACTAGGGTGTCTTTGGATTATCCACATATTAGTTTAACAGTACAACCAGTGCGCACCATATTTAACTTGACAAGATAGGGTCCCATCTATGTAATACTGCATACTTTAGAATCTTCTAATGAGTTACCACAGCCTAAACCAGATATGCCAGGCAGCAAGACCACTAGTTTGTCTTCTTTCTAAACAATAGCGAGAACAATTTATTTGTCAAGAATTGCTGCACAATGTAGAGCTCTCCAGTTAAAGATTTTGATCGATATATTCAATACATGCATGACTTAATTTCTTTCTCCATTAACTCACATTTGTAACATGGGAGGTTTATTTTTCTTTGCAGTAAATTAGCCAGACTACTGCTACTAATAAATAATAATACCATATAGCTTTTCCATAGCACTTTTCATCAGTGAAGCCCAAAGCACTTTGCAAAGGAGGTCAGTATCTTTATCCCCATTATACTGATGGGGAAATCAAGGTACAGGGAGGTGACATGAATTGCCCAAGGTCACCCAACAAACTGATTACAGAACCAAGGTGTCCAGAGTACTAGTCCAGTGCTCTATCAAGGAGGCCACACTGCCTATCCCAACTAAAAGAAGAGAACAGTTTACCAATGGGAATAATTAACCATCTGAATTAGTTTACCAAGGGAAGTAGTAGATTCTCCACCACTTGGGGTCTTTAAATTGAGAGTGGGTGCCTTTCTACATGTTGAATTACAAGTTATTGGACTTGATGGAGGAATTACTGTGTGAAGTTCTACAGCCTGTATGTTGTAGAAAATCAGATTAATTATTGTAATGGTCCCTTCTGGCCTTAAAACCTTGGAACAAGAACATTCTTTCATAGTAACAGCTTAGTTTCCTAAAAGAATATTTCCCCTTGGGCGCTTCCTTCTAGTTTCAGGCTCTGTCATTCACCCACCAACATAGCAGATGCACAGTGCACTACAGATCACCTGAGGGAGGAGGTCAGCCTTGTATCATTCAACATCTCCCAGATGATCAGGACTGACATTAATGAAACACTAAAGGGAGCTCAGTTCACTCCTTCATGCAGAAGGACAGCTATCGTGACAAGAGGCATATGTAAAATAGTGAGAAAAGGTAATAAAAAGGGTAGTGGGAGGAAAGTGAGAGTAAAACACTCATGAACGTGCATTTCAGACCCAGGCCACTTGTCACAGATCCCCTTCCAGACCCCTTGAAGACACACGGTTTGTGGGTTTGGAAAGACAAGGCGGAGTGCAGGAGATAGTGATATCACAGCTTGGGATGGGAAAAGGAAGAACACCTCTGACAAAAAAAAATTAAGAATGTGGCATGATGATTGGTTTATCAGTTTAGTACATGAAAATCCGTATCTAATGTTTCTGTGTTTGGTTACAGCCAAGATTGCCTGAAGCTGGGGGTGGACGACAGGGGATGGATCACTCAATGATTGCCTGTTCTGTTCATTCCCTCTGGGGCACCTGGCACTAGCCACTGTCAGAAGACAGGACACTGGGCTAGATGGACCATTGGTCTGACCCAGTATGGCCATTCTTATGTTCTTAAGATATTATATCAATGTTTTTTTAAAGTACTTTATGCTGCACTCTAAATAGGACAGGATTCAACAGACTTGAAGGATATGTGTTATATAGACCATCTTAGTTTACCTTAGAAGTTTCTCAGTAACAGTGGCTATTTTTCTCAACGCGGTTTCTAGTGATAAATTGCTACTTTGCATCACCACAGTGGGTGCTATTTTACACTGGAGATGTGATTCACAAAAAGCAGTAAGAAATGTGGTATGTGCAGAGACCCAGGATTTTAAATTTCCACATCTTCTCTCGGGCCTTCTGATTCGAGGCTATGCTGCTACATCCGGTCAGCAGATTTCAAGAAAAGGAGAACATCAGCTGTGACAGGGATGAAGGAGAGACATGGAATTCTAAAAGCCAAACAAAGCCAGCAGACCATAAACATGGAATCTTGGCTTCAGATGGTAATTATTTCTCAGCAAAGCTAAGGCTATCATTCAGTGAAAAATTCTTCCACCAATGTATCCCTCTACAAACCAAATACAAAACTGCTTCAGAGGGTAGATTACTATTATAGTTATTTTACTAAGATTTTTTTTTATCAGAAACAGTAGTGACTAAAGAAATAAATGGCTTCGCTTTGAAAAAATAATTAGGGTAAAAAGGGGAATGGAGGAGGGAAGGAAAAGAATATATTTGGTGACTGGCAGCCTGAGCCCTAAGCTTGTTTAACTATTACATACAAACAGATCAGAGATTTGTTCTGTGATGGGAATCAGGCAGTCTGTGAATCCCATTATCTCTTCTACCATGTGGTCAATCACTCAATTAAGGTGCTGCTTTTTCACCATGAATATGCAGTCCAAACACTTCTATCAGGACAATTAGTCTGGGATGTGTCTCAGCACAAAGACTGTTTTTGTTAAGATTACCATATCAAGATTTCCTGAATTACATTTCAGGCATATCACAAGGACCTGGAAAGTGACAGAGAGTGTACAAGGCAATGAAAAAACTAAATCCAACATCTCTTTTGTTAAAGAATCCATGAATCTCTTTCCAGTGGTTACAAATGACCATGCAGCACAGATCTTGAAGGATTAGTATGTTAATTACCCTAAACTCATCAATTTTGCTTATCTCTTACTTTAACGACTACACTCTTTTCTCTTTTAAATGTAGAAACACTATATTTTCATTTTTCTGAAATATCATCCAGATTAACTAACAGTTTGGTTAGTCACAAAAATAACTAAAAACAAAAGACATCAAGTTCCATGTCTATTTTGTTTCCAACTTCTATATCAGAGTTGGTCAGTTGGCAAGTGAGGAGATGCTTTTTTATGTACTAACAATGCAAATCCAAGTGGGAGTACAGGAGAGTGGTCACACACAAATGAATTATGTCTCTTATACCCAGGCAGTGAAAATAATCCAACAAGGACCAAATTCTCAACCCCCTGGCAAGGGCCATTCACTTGGCATTTTGTACGCAGCATCTCCTTAGGTGCGGAGGACAGACTCCTCCCCACCTTTATGGGTACCAACACGGCCGTTACTGCAGACTTTAGCCTGCACTGGCATGTGCCATATCTCTTCTCACCCAATCCAAGACAATGGAGCCACACAGCCAGGGATGTATGAGTCCCACTTCCTGGGTGTTGCTACGTAGATCCACAGCATGCAGAGATGTTCTAATCCCCCTACATGGCCTCTGTAGTTTGTCTGCACCCCAGCCCCCTGGACGGAAGAACCACAATACATTTAGAACCCAAAAAGGGTCTATCCATGGAGTGTTTTCCCATGGAAACAAAGGTAGAAGGGTGATGGAGGCCTGATGCTAAGAGCACAGCTGAAAGCCCTGCTAGTGTGCACATTAGAGGTTTGTTATTAAAGAAAACTGCTATTACTTGGACACATATAGGTCAGATACCATGAGAAAAGTGATACAGTTTTTAGGGTCACTTTTCCAGCTGTAACCACACTTAGAAAAATTCCATTAAAACAAAGACATGGCATGGTATCTGCTAATTATATAATATCCAACCTGATATCTTCATATACAAAGATTACATTGAATTCAGAAAGACCAAAAAAAGCATGTTTGTTAACAGTAATAAAAACTGCACATTTAAATAAATATGAAGTTATGGCCATGTAGTGTAATCTGAATACAAATATAAATCAGTATAAGATTATTACAGTCACATCACATAAATTCTTATAATCATTATGATTCTCCACCCTACCCCCAAACATCTATGTCACTGTCCGTATAAGACTGACTGAATCTCATTGGAGGAGAAGTGGAGAAAGTGTACATTATATAAACAGAGAAAACTCACACTGCACTACATACTGGAAAAGGCTTAACTGCATTTGACACAGGAGGCTGATATTTATCATGAGTGAAGAGGAAGAGAACTGCAGTGAATGAAAAAGCAGGTTATGTAGGAGGAATTTTTTTTATTAAAGCTACTGTGAAAATAAAAGCAGATTACCCTGGGGGTGAGGGGGAAAGCATCTGAACAAGTTCTTTTTCTCAAAAAGAAAACTTTACAAGTGATAGCTATAAAATGCAAAGACAAGAAAGAGCTCATACTGTACATACCTATAGTATCTACATGAGGCACAAGGCATTCTCCTGCTAGACCACTGTTTCATATGAAAGCTGACAAAAGAATTTGTTTTCTTCCTGCATGCCAATATGTGCAATGAGCACCAGTTTTCAGAACTGTGTTTTCTGTATTACGGGGAACAGACTGACAGGTTTGTCTCCTTGACATACTTCTACAGTGATTATTCCAAGCAGATCAAACTCTTCTGACATCAGAGAATGAAACAATGTATCTGCACATAGCTTACTATTCCCATCAGCCTGAATCAAGAGAGGAACAGAGTGTATAAACCCAAATTACAGGATTGTTTCTCCACTTATTGAAAGTAAAGATTTAGGCCCTGATCCTGTGATTCATTGTATA